GGACGAAGCGGGGAGCCGGAGGGGGAGAATGCGCGGCGATCTCGCGAGTGTCTCCTACGTTGTACATATGTACGTACACAAGCGAGGATTGCGAGATTCCACTTACCGGCCGCGGATCTGGCATCGTTTTTCCCATGATGCCTGCGGTACTTCTTCGCCGTCGCAGCCCGGTCCTTCAGCAACATCGTACACACACCCGTCCCTCGTACGCAATCCGTCCCTTTTCGCCGGCAGCGCGTCCGCTACGCACAATTATCTGTCCGCGCAGCAGCCATATTTGCTTTCAACTGTCCGGCCCCGAGGTCGCCTCGTAGTGGTTCGTCCCGCTCTCGGCCTTTGGCTGGCGGCCATGTCGTCGTTGCGCGCACTGACGTCACGTGACTCACGTGGCCAGGCGCGTGTTCAAGGCCGTAATGTCGTCCCTCGTGTGCCCGGATCCGTCAAGCGCCTAAAAGCGATCATTGTTGAAATAAAAGTCACTTTATCTCTCGGTACTGTTACTCTTTGTTCCACTCATCAAATTACATTGTAGAAAAAAAAACTTAATTATTTAACCATTTAAACTTTATACTCCTGCAATTATAGCGAAAACATATTTTTAAATGATATTAGAATTCATCCTTATAACAAAATTAATCAAAAATTCAATAATTGTTTTTTTATAATTCACGATTGTTTTTGCTGTTTTTATTCCGAGCAGCTATCGAGATTATTCCATTTAATATATTGCTTTTGAAAAAAAAGAAGGAAAATTGTAATATTTGAAATGACAAAATAATAAAATTGATTAAATAATAAAAATTGATGTTTGCGATTATTATAATATAATATTATTGAAAATTAAATATAATTATATATATTAAATAAATATACTTAAAAATTAAATATACTTGCGATGCATCTCTTATTATTGCAGTCATTAGGATAAGGATGTTACTTGCAACTAGTAAATTTCTGAGGAAGAGGAGTATGTAATTTCAGAGACAATGATATATATAAAATAACAAAGACGTTCCTGGTGCGTGTAGGTATGGCCTTTTACTTCACACACAATCAGGTTCTCGTTTGACACACATTACTTCACAGAAACTGAAAGAAGTATATCGAAGGCAGCCAATGCAAGACGCGATTAATATATCGCGACACCATTATATCTTATCTCCGCTCGCATTTATATTTATATTATATATATTTATATATCTCGTTTAATAACTTTTTTCGCGTGTTCCTTATCATGAGAGACGATATCAAAGCCCACAGAAACGCGCACGCTATAAAAATGCCAAAAATGAACCAAAAGTCATTGTTCCGAAAAATTTTAATTTCTAACGATATAATAAATGTGAGAATATATAATTTTTCATAAAATATATAATTCATATACAAAGAAATATCACTATATTTTGATAATAAATTATATATTCATAATTTATATATGCAAACAATTTATATCACAATAATTAAGGTTTAAAAAAGCTTTAAGCAAACATATAATCTTCTGATTTAATTTCTCTTTATATGAAAGAAGTTTAAAGTCTCTCTTTCGTTAAATTCACCTTCGAAATAATGACTATTGGTTCAATACATCATTGCGCAGAAACATATTTATACATATTTATTATCCAGGGTGTTTTTGGAAAAGATACGAGGTTTCATTCCTAATAGAACATCCAAGTTCAATTAGGAATGAATTCCTAGTACTCTTACCTGCTTTATGAGTCACCCGATATATTAATAATTCAAATCGAGAGAAAGACAGTGATGTACATACGTCATGTAGCGCCCATAACCATTACACGCGCGCGCGCGTGAGAATACAATTTTTAAAATATTATAACAATGATGCAAAAATAGACGTTACCCACCACTTGTTGCGATACAGCAAGACAAAGATCTCTTCGATTCTTCTGACAACTCTCCAGAAATTTCTCGCCCATACAATTTTTTTCTCATCTTTTCTCTCCTTTTCGCTCACTTCTAAGCTTAATTAGTATTCGTGCAATTAGGCGTTTAGTGAAGATTCCTTACGTAGTCTCAGAGTTAAACCTAATGAAATGTTAAACGAATTATATGTAATGTAAATTATTTAAATCTCATATTAATTGTAAAAATTATGCTATAGTGAAATTCACTTATTTCATTGTAGAGAGAGAGAGAACAAGGAGTAGTCACTCAAAGATTACACAAAGTTTTACTAGATATATTCTAATCATTAATATAAATTTAATGAAAGAAAATGAAAGATGGAAAGAATTGATTAATAAAAAAAGATTTTTTAATTTTATTTTTCAAATATAAATAAAATGGTAAGATAGATTCCTTCCAAGTTATTTTCTCTAGAGATCATAAACTTCTATTTAAATTATTTTAAGCATTAGATTTGGGAATTTTATGTAAAATTTCAAATTCATTAAACAAAATGAAAACATGAAGAAATTAAAGTATGCGTTGACAATGCAAATAATCAAATGTTCCCAAGTTCAAAATATAAGTAACGAAATCTTTCTATTATTACAAAAAAAATAAGATTTGCAATTCACACATGTATTAAAAACAACAATAAGTATAACATAAAAAATATAATGTACAGAAAAAAATATTAAATTAATTTAAATAATTACTTTAGAGAGGATGTGAAATTAATTTTTCACCTCAGAATCTTGGACTTCAAAAATCTTCAACTTCCAGATTCCGAATAACTTGTAAAATCTTGGATTTATGAAATTATTTTAAAGCAAAGTCAAAAGATGATGGAAATCTTTTTCATTTCTAATAACGTTATTTTGGTATATGAAAGAAGAGTGCCTTGAAAAGACATTGCTCAGGTTTGGGAACTGGATCGATCTGGAAATGTAAATTGATAATGAAAATGAACACAATTATTATAAATTCTAACTTTTAGAGATGTAGCAAAGTACTATGACCAAGGCTCAAGTTCTCCAAGTTTTTTTCTTATTTTTTTCTTTTAAAAATTTTAAAGATTACTATAGATTGCTAGGGAGAACTTCGCTTCTTTATAACCTTTCCAATCTTTGCAATCTTCTCCAAAGCTTGTTTCTTTTTCTCTGACTGCTATTAATGATGAGCTCCTTATACAAGTAGAGCAATCGTTCTTGTACGCTAAATTGAATTGTTACATTCCTATTAATTTCCAAACATTTCTGGATTATCTAAAAATTGTTTAAGCTTTAAAGCTCATCTATCGATATCAGAAAATACTGTATCGTAATCTTTTCTTGTCTCTTTAGAATTCGCTTTATTTTTTTACGCAAGCGTATAAACGATTAGTAACAGGCGCTACTTCGTGAATTGAAATTGAATCCAATCATCAACATTACATTGCCATATATACTTCAATTTTCGATGCAAATAAATGTTCTTCTTTATCACGACACAATCTTGCTAACTTAAAGAAACAAAGTCTTCCTTTTTCTCATCCTGTATTTTTCATACACGCATACGCTCTTTCATTCACTCTTTCTTTCTCTCTCTTTCTATATCTGTCACTTTCTCGCCCGCATTTAAAAAGTTGCATATTTCGAGAAATAATTAAAAAGTCATCACAGAAGCGTCACATTATCATATTCCGTTAGACTACATATCTCATGTGAATTATTTTGTTTCGGTTAGCGCAGTAATATTACAATGAGTACAAAATGGTTTCTCAAGCCTAGTATAAAGCACTATTATTATTATTATTATTATTATTATTATTATTATTATATCATTAATAATTATATGTATATTATATTTATATATATAATAAGTGTGCTTAACATATCGGCACACATCGTACATATGCACACATACATCCTCTTGTATGTGCGCACGAGCACATAGCAGCAGTTGCATCACTTAGGATCTAAATTGTAGCGATAATTATCTGTAGTAATCCGTTAATTTTTATCAAATCAAATCTCCTTCTCCCTCTCTTGTTAGACATGATCCATTATGTTGCGATTCAGAACGATCCGGTAATTACGGTTAATCGATCGCTAGCTTTCATCGAGATTTCCTTCTGCACTCATTCGAGATGATGATAAATGTAAATAAAGAAAAAAGATATGAAAGAAGAATACTGCCTTCATCTCTCGTTCGTTATTCCTTCGGCAACATTCTCATAAAGAGAGAGAGAGAGAGAAAGAGAGAGAAAGAGAGAGAGAAAGAGAGAAACATTTTTTGAATTTTAAAGGAGAAGCATGAGGAAAGAAAGTGATTTTCAGGATGTTACGAAAGTTTGGTTTCGAAAAAGTTTTACATTTAAGAAAGTTTAAAATATATAGAATACGTATAAGATGTGAAAATATATAATTCCATGATTCCAAAATATAAAACAAAATCTTTATAAATTGAGATATTGAGAATAAAAATTTTCAAAATTTAAAAACATTTTTCTATATTTTTATTCATTATTTAATAATGTAAAAAATTACTGCCAAGATAAAACTAAATTTTAACGTAAAAAATTACCAAGTAATTTTTTATGTAAAAGATGGCTATATTTTTTAGAATAAATTTTTAGATTGTTATAAAATATTCATATAATTCATATTTTGCATCGATGTTATATTTGTCAAAGAAAGCAAAAAATATCTCTTGATTTTAAAACGTTTCGATATTTATTTTAATAATATATATATGTAATTTTTTACATTATTACTAGTAATTATTTTAAATTAGTAATTTTTTAAAATTACTAATTACTAAATAATTAGTAATTTACTTCAAAACTGCCAAAGTAAAATTAAATTTTAAAGCAAATAATAATGGAAGGATTTAAATCAGTGACATTTTACGTCTAATTTGATATTTCAGATGAGATGTTCAACTCCTATCTTTGTTAATGTGTGTATTACAAAAACTGATATTTTATATCCTTCCTATTTTAATCAATTGATAAATATATAATTAAGGAAAAAGAAAAAAGGATAATATGCTATATATAAATTATTGTTTCTTGTAAAAAAATGTAAATGAGGAACTACAAAATAATTTTGTAGTCCCTCATTTACTTTTTTTCTACAATGAATAATAATTTAATAACTTTTGTTTGTTTGTAACGTTTTTTTGATGATATATACGAATAAAAATTGATAAAGGCAGTATTATCCGCGCGATAATTGAGAAACTGCAGGGAGAAATGATATGTCCCCCTGCTTCTCCAGTTCAAAATACTGACATACATGTCCGATGCGCGCGATCGACCTCCCGTTTTACTTCGAGTCAGAAAATAATGGCACAAAGCGAAACGGAGTCTTGCGGGGGCGTTCGAGCGGCCTTGAAGAGAATATTGGATACTTAGCCGGAGCTGGCAGTCTCGTTCTCCACCGGTAGAATTTGCTCCGCTGGGTTTGCAGGATTATTATCCCGGATTGCCGCCTTATTCTGTCTCACAATCTCGGCACGCCTTTCCTGCGGGAACAGAGAGAAAAAAAAACGAGAAATTACAGTGATATTCTTTGATGCGATTTTGTCGAAGACAAAGGTTGAAAGTACGCCATGCTCTCTATCTGCAAGCTGATATGGCGAATGGCTAAATTTAGACAGGGTGCGTTAGAGATTTCAATTTCTTGGTTTTTCTTGATTTTTTAGACGTATACATCTTTAGATTATAAGATCTTTACATCATCAATTTGAATCAATTTATAAATACTTATTTCATTACAAGTGATAAAAAGTCTAATTGTCAATAAATAAAAACTCGGCTCTACATCATCTCCGGCACATCCTGTATGTAAAATAATCACATATGAGCTACAAATAAGGACACAGCCATGCTGGAAAAAGATAACTATGAAACAAAGGCTACAAAATAATTTAACAAAAGCATGGCAATGGCATTCCTTATACAAACTCAACTATCGACGTCTTCATGGTCCTAAAAAAAAATAACAAGCTATTTGCGATGGAAAGGAAGTGGACCAAAGGAAATAATTGATATATAATTTAAGACGTGCAAACATTACAATTTGTCGTATCGCGATTTTAGAATTTTATCATATGAATTTAAATATTAAAATATATGTATCATACGGTATATTTTATATATAATATAAATCCGATATATTATACAATATATTGTCGTATTACACATTTTAACTTGTTCATTGATATTTGTTGAAAAAATATCATATCAAGATAAATATAATAAATAATCTGATATAATGTCTATAAAATAAATATGTCCGTCTTTTTACATTCTCGAGATATAAACCGATATACAATTTTAATTTAAATTCTTTGAAGAGAGTAAAAAACATTATTTTTCTGCAAATTTCTGCTGATATTCCCTCCTATGATATACATGATTAAAAAATTATTATAATGAAAATTTTAACTTTCTTTTATATGTAATTCTTTTTTAATACTATTATCTTATCTATAATATGTGACTGTTGTTTGAGATTATTAAATAAGTTGAGTATTATATTAAATAAGAACAAAATTGATACACGAAGTAGATGATCTTATCTTATTAATCAAGAGCATTTCTTTGGATGGAAATCGATTTATCGACAACAAATTGTTACGTCTGCGAAGGATTCCGATTGCAATTAAGAATGCGGGGACAGAATTACATGGTGGCGGCGAATCGCTTGCACGCGGCGCTGGATCTCTCGCTGCCGATTCAGCTCCGCGGTTGTCACTCTCTTGTCAAACTCGAACTTTTTCACCAGGAGCTCTTGCGCTGCCATCTGACGCACTTGAGCTATCTTCACCGTGTTCTAAACCACCATTGCACAAATGCCCATTCAATGCTTTTTTCGTAGAAAAACCTTGGCAACCCAAGGTTGTCCAGTTTGTTTCATATTTCTTTTTCTTTCTTTCCATCTTTCTCTCTTTCTTTCTCTCAAAAGCTCATGAATGTAATGCTTTAAGTTATGCACGAGTCTCTGTCTTTTTGGAATTATTTTTTTCTGGAAATTTTTGTTGCAGTAAAGTTTAACAACTTGAAGCATTCTTTACATAGAGATATTCTCTTTTGGTTTTATAATAAATTATTTGGATTATTTTATTTTTAATATTGATACTAAAATCTATGAATAAAGTTTATTGATACTAAAATTTCTGAAGTTTAAAATTTTAGGATCTTTTACATAAAATTGATAAAAATATGAAATTTTTAATGCTTAAAGTTTTAAATTTTTAAAGTCTCTCTCCAAATTTTTCATGATTTTCATACGAACCAACAAAATGAAAGCCTACGTATGCAAAGCTTTGCAATAAAAACTGTATATTAAATATAATTTTATCCAAAACTGACAAAGTTTCGCAATAACTTAATAATCAGAAATCAATGTACTTCAAAACTACCACATCAACTATAAGAACCATATTTGATCAGAAACTTACATGATTACGCAGTTTTTCCTTTTGCTCGCGCTCGATGGTCTCGCGACGTTCACGTGCCTGCTCCAACTTGCCCTGAATTTGGGACTCCAATTGCTGTACGCGCTCCGACATTCCTTGACGTACGCGAGCTACTTGCTCCTCCTGCAAACAAACCGCGAATCGATAACTTATGTCTATTCTTGACGACTCTATTATCTGTCTATACTGTTTGCTTGTTAAATATGCAAAACAAAGTAGCGCAACTTGACAGAAAAGAAAAAAATGAGAACATCTTGAACATCTTATTTATCTTTCTTTTACACAATCTTAAAAATTTAAACATAATAAATCATATATGTTTAATCATATAAGTTATTTAATCATATAAGTTTAAACATAATAAATCATATATGTAATGTTTAATTCAATCAAGATTCTTTGATAAATTGTAAAAATTGATAAAAATATGAGAAGATACTAACATGTTCCTTGAGACGATCCAACATTTTCTTAATGTTCTCATCACGCTGAGCCGCAGCAGTCTTCAGCTTCTCTTCGACGGCACATCGCACTTCCTCGGTTTGTTGCTCAAGACTCAAGCGAGTCTTTTCAACGCTCTCCAACTACAAAGTAAAATTATATATTACAACAGTTGTTTAGCACGACAAGACATTAACTTTACTAAACAATAGACATGCATGTCGAATAATTATTAACTTTAATTTATAGACGTGTGATCAGAATTTAATAAACCATATTATAATTAAGTTAGTCAATATATATTTCTCCAACGACAAGACATAGTAAATTAATTAGACATCTATTGCAACTATTCATTGTTAACTATATATCTCCAATCTCTTTTACTCACATGCTCCTTTAGCTTATTCTTTAAATCGGCGATGTGAGCCTCTCGCTTCTCTTCCGTGTTGTTCATCTTAGCATCCAAGGACTCGCGAGTCGCGGCGATAAAAGCTGCGCTAAGTTCATCCTTCTTGCGAGACGCTTCCTCGATCTTGCTAAGTTTGGCAGCGAGGGCAGCGAGTTTGTGCGCCTCGATGGACAATCTACGCTCTTCAGCGGCTTTCAGCTTGTCCTCGATCGCGATCTGCTGCGTTGGGCTCGTCTGCGGCGGTGATGGTGCTCTCTTAGGCCCCGTTGGTTCCGCCAGAATCACTTCGTAGCACAGTCCGCCCTTGGTTTTCTCCTGGCATCGGATCTCGGTCGCTGCAAATTTCCAGCACAACATGAATGAGTGTTTGGTTCATCGGTATAACAATAATAAACTTATATTAAATTGCTATAATAAATGCACTGAAAAATAATGGCTATAATAGTGTATTTTTATACATAGTATACTTTGAATAATTAATGTCTTATTTTCAAGTAATAATCGATACTTTTGCACCGAAATATTAAGATTATTTCCAGACTTATATTCTTATGTTTTAAGACTGCTGCTTTTCCATTTTTAGAATTGCAGATATCGTTATTTCGTACTCTTTTCGTGCCCTTAGCGCCATCGTATTATCTTCCTGAAGTCATTTTAATCTCGATAGTAATTCTAATCCCTATCGAATGTCTCCCGATGTCTCATCCTGAAATAACAATCCCTGCGGGCATAATTCGCAATTCCGGCGCCGGCTAGTTACGGAAGTATGACTCACAGCTCAAGAGTAACAAGGAGGGATCGATCAGAGAACGATCGGACGTAGGCGCCGCGACGTCTACCGTCGCCACACGCACCTCTTCTCTTCCTCCCTCCTCTTCGTCTACCCGTCGTTGCCAACCGTACCGTAATTATCGTATATCAAACTGTATCGTGTAATTTCATTTACTATGGTAATTTTTGAAAATTCTAGTAATTATTTAATTTTAGAGAGTGGATTGCAATTTACAATAATATTTCCTACTTTGTTCCTTTTCTCTCTTCGTGGTGTCTCGGATATCAATTAAATTCAAATTATTAACTGTCGATTTCTCAAACGTTTAAATAAATTCTCCACATATGTTGAGAGATAAATTGGAGGTAATTAATAAAAATTTCGCGTTTATTTCTCTTTTTCTGACTCTTCTTTACCTGATGAAATGAGACATAACGCAATGGAATATTACTATAAAAAATCGTCAATACTTTGCTGTATATTCCACGTAATACAATACTAGCTTGAAAGTGTTCCCCACTTGTAATGTATAATTCAGTAGCGACACATTGGCACGACCATTCTTGCCGAGGGCATTGCACCGATCTTTAATAGTAAAGCTCCCTTTTATTGTGTTAGTTCTTAGATGTAAGGATTTTCATACTGAATTTTACAATTTTTTTCTACTTTCTAAGATTACATATAAAATAATAATTACATAAATAGAATTATTTAAGTGCAAAATTTGCAAGAAAAAAGAAGGCTAATAATAAGTTTCTAATATTTATAGATTTTATCATTACCTTTTATAAATATTTAATATAATATTACATAATAAAAAGTAACAATATAAAATAATCTTTAAGCATAGTTGGTATAGTTGAACCATATAATTGCATAAATTACAGAGAGAAAGTGAGAGAGAAAGAGAGAATTAAGCTAATATAAATAAAATTTTTTAAAAGGTCAAAATAGCTTAGAGACCTTTTCTCTTATGAATCTGCAACAGATATTTTTAGTATTGGTTTAATCAATAGATTGCCCTATCGTGTAGTACTCCTTATTGTGATTAGAATTTTAAAGAAGTCGATTCGACTCGATCGAACAAATGTAAGTAGATACGTCTCAATACGTCTATTGACGTCATTCAAAGCTCACCAAAGGTCTCCTAATGTTCGCTAATTTATCCGAGTACTCACTGATGAATTTCACCTTCTTCGGCTGCTTGGTCCGCGGTTTGCCCTTGCCGCTGGGTTTCTTAAACGGCGCGTTATTCCTCCTTTGTCCCGCTTCGAAAATTTAAATCCAATCAAAATATTCGAAATGTTTTTGAAGGAAATTAAAGAAATAAGGAAAGAAGAAGAGAAGTGTCTTAACTCATTGAACTACCATCTATTGTTTATGCAATTATCATAATATTGTGTATAATCGAAAAAGGAAGCAATTTTAAAAAGAGATAGCCAATTTGAATAATTAAAATTTATATACAATAAAAAATATTGATTGCACTGGCAATTATAATAATTATAAAAATAAAAGGTGTTTAATCAAAAATCCATTACAAAAAATATATTTTATTTAAGGCTCAAATGTATGATTATTCTAGAAACAAAGTCATAAAAAATTAAAATTGAACTAGCTGTTGTCTAGCTGGGAGATCGATTGGTGTCTCAATGAGTTAATTATCGGGAAATCGATGCAACTATTTTGCGTAGCCATGTTGGACCGCACCCTGATCGTTTAGGTAAGCCGAACACGTGTGTACCGGCGTCGAAAAATCCATATTAAACATTATTAAAAAACGAAAAATCAGTTAATTATTATCCTGGCAACTGCATATACATTACTATATTGAAAATAATTAAATTTAACTGTATCGTTCAAAAATAAAATTAAACTGTTATTTAATTATCAATGCATGCATATGTGTATACATATATACATATAATATATACATACATGCATATATACAAATATATAAGTGTGTATATATGTATATACATACACACATATTCATGTACATATATACATATTCATGTTCATATATACATGTAAAATAAATATATATATATATAAAATGTTTTATTTAATTAATATTAATATTTTATATTTACATCACAATTTTCAATTCTTCTGAATTGGAATCAATATTTTTCGCAGTAAAGAAAGAGAAAAAAATGATTTTACTTAGAGATGCTTAAAAATCGGATATAATGCGATTTTTGTCAATTTGTCAACAGAATTTTGCGACACCCCGTAGAGAAATGGTGGACCGTGAGTATCGATTCGCGGACGGTCCGAGAAATTGATCGAATTGCAGGTGCCCTAGGATAATATCACGATACTACCGTGGTATCGACCACCTTGCACCGCGATGAAGAGTCTCCTTGGGTTCAAAGGGCATGGAAAAAACCTAATATCAGCCTTGAGAAGTATAAGTATAAAATTTTTGTTTCTATATAAATTACATGTTAGTTTATAATGATTACAGATATTTAAAAAATTTCAAAATAATTGTATAAATAATAAAAAATTAATAAGTATAATAAATAATAAAAAAGAATAAATCTGCAGTTAAAAAACATATGATCAAATTCGGAATATTCAGAAAAAAATAAGTATTATAAATTTGACTTAAAAATAAGTATATTTTTAGGCTCTACAAGATATATAATGAAGATTATAAACCTCCATTTTGGATTTACATGTGCCAGCAAGTTAACAAATCCGAAATCAGGATAGGTTCTTATTGTTAGAATATTTTCTACCAATAGAAGAATCGCATCTATTTCCCAATACCTGACACTCCTCGATACTTTAGTAAATTTTTCCTTTAGGAGAACAATAGGCTGAGACAGGATAGTGGAATATTCTTTTTCAAGAGGTTTTCGAAGGAGGATGGCATTTTCGATATATTATCTTCCTAATAATCTCCCTTTTCGGTAAAATGTTAATTTTTCTAATACCATGAATTATGATAAATGTAAAAAAAATATTAAACATTTTTTTAAAGTTATATTAAAAAAGATTTCGTTTTAAAAAGTCAATCGTTGGAAAAATCCATCATCATTTAACTGCTTATCACAAATGTAATTTGCATAAAGCTTTATAATTGATTTATAAAATCTCCAACTTTAAAATTTATCAATAAAGAAACTTTAATAAAAGCGCCGTTGGAGAAGTAGTGAACTAATTTAGTACCTTGTTCTATAAATAGTCTAAAAGCACCTGAGCAAGTTTGGCTCAATAAATACTAAATTACTTCCTGATAGCTCCATAAAGAGTTTAGCAAGCTTTACCCAAAAAATGGATAAACAGATAATTGCGATCAAAAGTTGATGAATTATTTTACGACGATATACTGAGAGTAATCAATTTCGTCCGGAAGAAAAAGTAAATTATCTAGTAGTTACTGCATAAAAAATCGTCATGCCATAAAACTCCTCTTTACAAAATTGCCTAGTAAAAAATCAGATAGTCATCATAAAACTATTTTAAGATTTTCTGTAAAAATTTAATGAAAAAATGGCAAATATTTCTAACGATATTTTATAAAGATAGCTATTTTTATAAAGCTTTATTCTGTGATAAAATTCTATGATAAATTAGTATCATAAGAGTTAAAATATTCTGTTTCAAATTTTTGACAGTTTTAATATTTTAATTCTTTAAATGTAAAAAAGGATTGAAAGAATTTTTATATATAATATTTAAATTTTTTAAATATTTCTCGTTTTTCAGGATTGAATAAATAATTATGAGGATTGAAAAATAATTATTCACGATTTTATAAAGAATTAAACGAAGAAAACGTTCTTCCAGGATTCTAGATCGAATGTTAATAAGAGTTAGGCATTTATGGTAGCCAGTTACCAATCTTTATCATCTTTCTGCGAACCGGAAGGAGAGGATAGGTATCGATAGATAAGGGAAGTGGACCTCACGACAGAGATTCACTCACCTACAATACCCAGCGGGGCCTTGCAGCTGTGACAGAAGCACTGGAGCACCGAATCGCGCACGAGACCAATCAGCATGTTGCGTTCGTTTCGTTTCGTTCAAGGGGGGTTGTCTTACAAGTTTCGCAAGCGAATCTCGGGGGATGATGCGAATGACAGATCGAGCACACTAAGGCCAAGACACTGAGAAAGGTTGGAAGGACGAAGGAGAAGAAGACGAGACCAAGACAGAAAAGAATGAGTGAGGCACACCGGAAGTGTCGCTCAAGTCGTAACTGGGGCGGTGGCTGGAGGGCGACTGGCTCGCACACTGCGCCGCGACGCCCGGCGTCGCTCAATATCCCGACCACCCTTCTCTTCCTCCTCTTCTCCTTCCGATCCTCCCTCTCTCCGCCCGCGTCATGCAACCAACAGCCTACCCGGCGACAAACCACCCTTCCAACTAGCAACTCCAACCTGCGATCGTCACTACTGCTAGAACAGCCCTCAGAGGGATGTTATGAACTGTATGGGGTGTCCTGAGAAAAGACTATGTAAAACATGAAAGTATGGGCTGCTAAAGGACGAAGAAAGACGAAGAAGAACGAAGGGATAATCAAAGTTGAAAATTGAGTGGAATTTTAACGTAATTGGATCTTGCTAGCTTGGAATATCGAATTTCTTCAACTTTATTACGCTGATATTCTTCTATATTTGGATTTTTAAGATTCAGAGAGAAAAGTTTCAAGTCTGAAAACAAAATATATATATATTAGAAATTTTACATTCTTAAAATTTTAAGTTTTCAAGATTTTACTATAAAAATTGTTTCATGATTTTTCCAAACATTTTATTTCCTCAGAGTTAGGAAATCTGAATAAAAAAATCTTTTGTTTTTTCGGACACTCGGTATAATCGGTTGGTACGCACATGTATGGAACCTTATGTGCAGGCATAAAATACCATCTGTCCATCTCCCTTTCCTCCATCAGAGATGTACCATCCTCCAGAATTATACAACCTACCGGTATTTGCCGTCATTCTATAAAGACCGGTTTCAATTTTCGAAATTCGAGAAAATAATGAAAGTTCGCCTGGAAAAAATTTGTATAAAAGTCTACAAAGCACCGTAATAGAAATTTTAATTAATTTTAATTGTTTTAATTTTCAGACTTTTTCAACTCTCTTTCTCTCTAAATCTTCAAATAGTGAAAATATTAAATCTGTACATTTAAAAATTTCCGAATATTTAGATCTTACATTCATGCATTTTCAGATTTTAAAAAGTTTTAAAAACTTCAGATTTTTAAATTTTTATCCTTAAAAATTGGAACTTGACTGTAAAAAAAATTCCAATAATCAAGATTATTTTTACCAAGAGAATTTGTAGAGAACATTTGATTTGACACGGATTTTGTAATAGTAAATGAAAAATAATGAGGCAGGTAATGATTGCTTTGTGTAAAGTTTTACAATGAATGGACGATCGAAGACGGACTGTTTGTTAGAACTCGCGCGTTATGACGCAGCCAGAAAGATACCAGCGAGTCAGTTCCTTGTAGAAATCAATGAAAAATAAAACTTTCATGACACATGATAACTTTCGAGGAATCGCGTGAACTTATTAAAAAAACGAAAAAGAAGATATTTTGTTCCGGATGACCATTGATGAGAAATCTCTATCTATCGCGAGTTCTGTAATGAAAATTCGATCATTACAGTTTATTTGATTTCAAATGACGACGATAACGAGAAAAAGTGAACGAAAAGATCAGAAAAATCGAGTCGCATTATCTTTTTTTACTGGTTTCTTTTCAGTGAAAACTTTCCAATATATGCATAAAATTTTCTTTTTTGCATTTTCTTGTTTAGATTTTGGTATAAAAAAATCTTATTGTTAGTAGCAAATCTAAGATTCTCTCAATAATTATTTGTGTTTAATTTAATAAAAAGCCTTTCTTTATGTCACACTTTTGGTGCTAGAAAAATCGAAACATAAATTAAAAGTTGATTCCTTTTCTCTCGTTATAGAGAATATAAATTTAATATAAACAATATTCAAACACACAAAACTTAAGAATATAAATGTGTTTCTAAAGTTTATATAAAATCACTACTTGCTTCACATATTTACTATACATTTTACAAGCCGTATCTACAAACATTCTCCAAATTCTCTTATTGTTGTTATAAATATATATATAACCTATTAAAATTCTCAATTCAATAACTATTTTGATGAACTATTTTGTTTAATTTGTAAAACAAGCTCCCTTTAATTAACTTTTGGTGCTAGGAAAATCGGAGCTCAAATCAAAGGTTGATTTTCTTTTAGACTGCCGTTCCGTTCATCACAATTCGCGATATCAAGTTGAGAGTCACGGAGGCGAGGGGTCGCACCACGTCGCAGTCAGGTCGGTCAGGCTGCGGCATCGCCGTCCCGTACAAGTCTGCCTGCAGCAATCTCCTCCGCAGCTCTCGCCAGGCCAAGGACAAATCCAGACGAGTCCGGGGGCTCTGACCTCCTGTCGTATATGCCGCCTGCCGGTCTCGCCAATCTCGGGCGTTTAAGGGTGTGTTTTCACCGCACGGCGCCGAATTGTCCATGCTCCTCCTCTCTAATTGCGGAACCTTTGTCCCGATATCGCAGGATGGACACGCAAAACTCGCGCTCATACAGTATATTGAGCAAGGATCTCATTTCATAAAAAAGCACGAGATAATAATACCAGAAAACACGCTTAGAAACAATATATTCTATGTATTATATAACCAATATAAATGTGTCATGTCCTGTTATATATATATATATATATATATATATATATATATATATATATAATATATATAATATATATATATTTAAATTTAATATTAATTATCATTAAATTTTTTGTAATGATAATAATGTATAAATTGTATAGTTTATGTATATTTATGTAGAATAAATTGCTACAAAAATTGTTTTTTTTTTTACTTTTTTTACTACTTTATTACTTTTTACTATTCCTTTTTTCTCTCTTTCTCTTTCTCACGGAATATATAAAATTTTGAATTATCAATAAATTTTTTAAAAGTATTATTTTCGTATTTTTAAAAATATTTCTACTTACATTCGTCGAGAACAGACGACTCTGCTACGGTAGCCATAACGATGTTTCTGCAACAAAAACATTCCGTACGTATAAGCAAACTGGATATACTGGATATTCGAGGAAAAATACAAATAGAATAAGCCCAAGAGTTTTAAATATGTTATCATAATATTTATTGTTTTCTAATTCGATTCTTGACATTGTCATAACATTTAATTCTTTCAGTTATGTGTCACATTTTCTCAGCTCAAAATATAGTAAATATCGATTCAGAATTCAAAGAAGAAAAATAAGAGAGAAAAAAAAGACAAATTTGTTATTAATTATCGATATTTACATGTTTTCTGTCAATGAGTACAAGAGAGGCAGACTTGCAATAAAAAACAATTGAATAAATATGTTTTCTTTAGGCTTATTCATATTGTTTGGAAATCTGATCTATTTGTATACATATAATAGCATGTTGTCTACATTTCATATTGATAACAAATATTGATATTTTTATCACACGCAACAATATACAATATACAATATACAATATATTGTACCAAATATTTTTATATTTATATATATATTGCCAGATTGAGAACAATAATTATTAAAAAATGTATTATTTAATATTATATTGCGTAACAAATAATGAAAATCATGGCAAAGGTATATTCTTGAAGTTATACATTATAAATTATAATTATACATTTATATAATTATGAATTATAATTTATACATATATAATTATACATTAAATAGCATAAAAAATAGCAGAGATAAAAAATAATAAACACATAAGAATGATATTATATATAATTATATATAATTCTCAAAATTATATATAATATAAAAATCTATAAAAAAAAAGATGAATTCTTGCATTACTTATATGGAGAATACTGAGTAGAATATGGAGTATACTGCATTATTTGTATAGAGACTCTACAGATAGTACAATAAAAAAATAGTACAATAAAAAAATTGTACAATAAAAAAAGTTTTATTTTAAAATTTACCATAAAATTAATTAAATAAATAAGAAAAGTATGCCATTATACCTAACTGATTATTACCCTCTTGCATTTTATCTAGTTTTGTAATTTTGTAAATGTTTTTGCAAATTTATAAAAATAAAATAATTTATAAATTTTATTCAAGTGAAAATAATGTATAGATAAAACATGGCCGAATAGAATATATATTAACAATAAAATAATTATTGTTAATGTATATATAATCAAGATGGTTTTTACAATGACATCTATTGTTTATTTGCTTAAGGATGCTTCTCAACTAAGAGATATTTTTCTAAGATTAAACAAAATATTAACAAATTTCTTGTTCTAAAAAAGAAGAAATAATTTTACGAATATGAATTATAATTTACAATTATTTAATCATTTATTTATAGCATATTTTTTGCTAAAATATGCTATAAATATTAAATTTTTTTAACAATTTGTATTATTTTAGCTAATCATTTCTTTGATAATTATTCTTCGAACATTCTAAACAATCGTAATAATAAACACTGTCATTTTTAATTAAGAAAAAGCATTTTCGAACACCTTGTGCATGTCTTTGTTCATAATGAATTCACTAACATTATACAGTGTAAAATAATACAAGGACACAAAGTAACATATAGTTCTACTATAAAGGAGTAATTGCGGCAAATCAATAACTTAACTTCATACTAGCGCACTATCTGACCGAATTAATAATCCAATTAGATAAAGGCTTAACACCTTTATTTACAAACTTTGTTTCGCCATGATCCATCACTATCACAACAAAAGCCATTAAAACGCAACATTTTCCGCAATTCGGAAACAGCGATATCTCTCACCCCAATTCTCGAATATACGCAAAACAATTGATAAACAACGATAATCATACAGGTCGATTAAATAAATAAATAAATAAATAAAAATTAAAAAAAAAAATGAACGGCTCGGCAACGCATCGTTCATAAGTTCATGCATCTCTTTGTTGCGTCGCGTAGCAAACGAGAAAGGGGGGAGGAGGAAGGAGTAAAGGAGTAATGCTTTACCTGGTTTTTGGGACGAGTCTCGTTCTCGATACTCGATCACTCCGACGACGAAACAGATCCGTCAAGTGTCACAAGTCGGAATTCGAGATGCAAAACTCCTGAGCACCCAGGACGATACACTGGCTGATACACGACACGACGAGGACGAACGAGTTCCTGGACAACCGGCTGCTTTGTACGACGCTTTTATCGCGCGTCTTTATGCGGCGTTCGAGTCGCCGAGTGACGCCGAAGATGGCCGATCGCTCGCGACGTTGTTCAAGCCGCCGCTGATGCGGCTGCCCGATTGGTCCGCCATCGACGTCACGTAGCGCCTATTGGTCCGTTTGAACCGTCGAGCGTTACTTACATCCGATCGTGTGACTTCCAATTATTTTACGACCGTTTCATATACATGTATAAATATGTCGTTTTTTTGATACGTTCGATTTGATTTTTTTTTAGTTTCTTTTCTCAAACGCTTATTTTATTCAGGAAGCATTACTGAAACAAATATATTCTTGACAGTTGTATTATTATTTAAAGGTTGTAATATTAAATGTGAATATATTAAATATATTGAATTATAAAACATAGACATGCACACATAATTAAAGAATTGTAATTGAAACAAAATAATATAATAATATAATATAATAATAAAATTGTAAGATAAATTTCTCTCTTGAAATTTATATTCAATGTTTAAATTTGTTGTTACTCTTAAAATCTACAATTTATAAATTTATACTTTTATACTTGTAATCATCAGCCTTTCTTCATATCTTTCCATAATATATCAATGAGAAAGAATGCTGCCTATTTTTTTCTCTGGATATGATATCTCAGTTATTTCGTATCTGAATTAAAATCACTTAAATTGCCATCTAATCGCGAAGAAAAAGCGCGTTCTGTAATTTTATTTCAATGATTATTTGAAATGATTACCTCTGGTAATTTTCAACCTCTTGATAGCTTATTTCTTTGAGATTTCCATTGTGATTATTCTTCGATCTTCCTTGAAGAATATTAGCTAGGATAATTTAATTTGTGCGTGCACATGTTGATGGATCGCGAATGACACTTATATTGTATTCGGACGCGAAACCGTTAGAACAGGCTCTGAAAAAAAGAGATTCATTCCCGATGAATCATGTGACTGCAACGTTCGGATGAGTGTGTGGGACGTGGTGACCGTTGCTGTCGCATACGCGAAATAAAAATAGATCCCAAATATGGTCGCGACGTTCACGACTGGTTTGTCGATGCCTCGACATTGTCATTTCTTGTTCGAGCGATAAATGCCACAGATTTTTTCTTTCTCTCTCTCGCAGTTTCTAAGTTTCATAAATTTTAAGTGCTCTTTCTTTACAGAAAATAGAATTGTACATTTATTACAAACATAATGGTGTTCATTACCGCGTATTTAACTTGCTGTTTGTTTCTTCGCGCGTGTTTTCTTAAGAGTAGAAAAAGAGGATTCGAAGAAGTTTAAATAATCGCGCTTTTGGTGTTAAATGCGAAATAAGAACGTATATGTATGTTACTTACGGCAAATAATGTTATTTTTAGGCTCTGGATTAATTTTTTTACTCATAATTAAACGCATCGCTCTCATAGACTTGAAATTCTATCGTCGTCGAATAATCAATTCACAGATAGACATCGTCGCATATATGAAAACTATGATAAATATGGAGTTTTCTAGCAATGCCATACGATTGGCTGTCAAATAGAAAGATTTTCGGAGCTAAAAAATTTTTTATTCGATAAAATGACCCTAGTCTATTTTCTTGCTGGAAAGCTCCCCTAACTATAATCACATTTATTTATAAATATCTGGCCAATCGAATGCCTAATTTAATGAACCGCTGCGATTTTACAGATCCAGAGGCACGTTTTCCTCTCTATATCGCGTCGCTTAGTTCATGACTGATCGAACGCCTGATCGCACCGGCGTGAAGTTGTGCGCTGGTTGGTCGGCTCACGCGCCGTAAATTCACCAAGTTCACGTTGCACGAGTCTGGCATGGTCTAGCACCTAGCACCTCGTGTTACACCACGTTAATCACGTTTACGAGAGAGTCACGATTTGGCGCGAGGAGACAACATGGCGCATCGATGGTGATCGAACAAGGCTAGGACGAGAACCATCGAGGATGTCGATAGCATTCCGGGAGACTGATAGCGACCATGTCGACGATCTCAGGCTTCGCGCCGGAACTGACAGTTTTCCGAGCATCAACGAGAGGCCGGTCGACGACATCTCCCTCGAGTTCTTTTACAAACCGCACACGATTACCCTATTGCTCATCTCCATTGGCGCCGTCATCTACTCGGCGTTCACCAGGTAGCTATAAACCGTCCGTCTCGCTCTTTGGAATCTCTCCCTCTCCCTCTCGCTCGTTCGTTCGTATTTAGATTTTATATCTTCCCATTCCTAATCCTGATGAAATTTATACTCATTGATAAAAATTTCTACTCGAAATCAGCATCGAATCTTGATAAGATGATTTTATGAAAAAAACACAGTACAAGGATTTCTCAATAATGTTTTAGTATCATCACTTTGAATAATGATGCAACATTTATATATTATATATAAGATTCCAATTTTTATACATTTGATGTGTTGGAATTGTTTTTTCTATTTCTTTTCAAGGTGCGTGATAAACTTAATAATTTTACATAAATAAAAGTGAGAAATGATTAAACTTTGCCCTTGGATTGTCTATTATAAGCCATTCATCATGATTATGCTTTTGTTTTGCATATACTATATTTTGTATTTGTTATATAATTTCTTGCATCAATCCTCATTTTATTAATATTTTTGTAAATTAAACTGCATTAATCTTAGTAATCAAAAATTTTAATTGATTTCAATTTGTAAATTTAATTTTTAGATATTTCTAGAAAAATATTTATTCATTGTAACATTTTCATTACGGCTGATAAATATGTAGCAATCATTGTTTGAAAACAACCTGATTGAATGTAATTATTATTTATAATGCAGCTAGAGTGAGAAAATTTTTGTAAATTTTTTGCAAATCATTTTGCATTGTAACTATTATTTGTAAATCATACACCATCTTGTTGTATCATTACACAATATATTATGTGTTCATTATATTCTTTTAAATACCTCAATTTCAGAAATACCACCAATGTTGAAGACAACATGTGGGCAGGCATGTTATGCGTCATTTTCTTCTTCCTCATCATATCTGTCTTAACCTTCCCCAATGGTCCATTCACCAGACCTCATCCAGTAGTATGGAGGATAGTGTTTGGCTGCAGTGTTCTCTATCTGATGGGTCTCCTGTTTATGTTATTCCAAAATTATAAGACAGTCAGGAGAATTCTGGTATGGGTGGATCCAGGTTTAGCATCCTTCCACATTGACATGGACAAGGAATATGGTGTTAATTGCTCAGATATCACCGTAGAAAAAATTTGGAATCACTTGGATGTATTTGCACTGGCTCATTTTCTTGGCTGGGCCTTCAAAGCTATTTTGATTCGTCATCTTGGCATCCTTTGGGCCATTAGCGTTATGTGGGAGGTGACAGAAATCGCCTTTGCACACTTACTACCGAATTTTATCGAATGCTGGTGGGATGCACTGATTCTAGATGTTCTTATATGCAATGGATTGGGTATTTGGGTCGGCCTGAAAATTTGTTCCATATTAGAGATGCGAGAATATAAGTGAGTTTCACACTACTTTATACTACTTTGACATGCAAAAGTTTTAAGAAATTTTGTTGTTAGAAATATATTGTGCTATAAAATTTTATTTCTATTCTTGTATAGAAATTATTTTTATTTCAGAGAGTTTTTTTCTTTTTTTCAACAAAAACTTTAAATCAATATTGAATCCTGTATTAATCTTATTTCTTGAATAGATGGGTTAGTATCCGTGACATCGAGAGTACTACTGGAAAATTGAAGAGAGCAATGTTGCAATTTACTCCTGGAAGCTGGACATCCGTTAGATGGCTAGATCCTACTTGCACACATATGCGATTAGTCGCATTGTGCCAATTAGTGATATTTTGGCAAGTTTCTGAGCTCAATACCTTCTTTTTGAAGCATGTGTACGAGTTTCCGCCATCTCATCCCTTTGTTGTAGCCAGATTAGTGCTGATCGGTGTCATAGTCGCACCATCAGTCAGGTGAGTAGAAAATGTACAATTTTCAATATTCAACATAAATAAAGATAATAGATCTTGAAAGTATAGATTTTTTTAAGAATTTTAAGAGTCTTAAAATCTTATTTGTGAAAAATATGTGTGAATATATTAAAATTCTAAAACATTGGAATTTTATTTCAAGAGAAATATTATGTATATTAAATACATATGTGTGTGTGTGTGTGTGTGTGTGTGTGTGTGTGTGTGTGTGTGTGTGTGTGTGTGTTATATTTTAAAAAATACATTAAGAGAAATCATACATATTATATTAATATTTGTTATGATTTTTGTAAATTTGATACTCTTAATTCTTTGAAATTCTAGTCTCATATAAAATAGTAATATAAAGTAATATAAAATTTTTACAATTTACAGACAGTATTATATGTATGTGACTGACCCAACATGTAGTCGAGTAGGAACTCAGTGTTGGGTCTATGGGGCGATCATGGTGACTGAAGCTCTGCTGTGTATACGTCATGGTGCAGCTCTATTTGAGCGCACTCAAGCTCTTAATATCCTCCTTTGGCTGCTCTGCCAATCTCTAGTCTCTGTTCTTTGTGTTTATGGCTGTGTCTTGTGGCATCAATACTTTGAGGTAAGACTATGTTGTGCATTGTGATCATCTTTTAACATTAAGATCCAAAAAAATACTGCTATATAATTTTTACTATCAGAAAAAAATTAAAAAAAAACATTGCATAATAATATGAATTAAAAATATCGCATAAATCTCCCTTTCTTTCATACAAATTTACTCAATGACCCTATGTGTTGCCATAAGCTGCTCGGTTGTCAATAGCTGATTAGTTATGAATTTTATGATTAACTTTTCTTGTTCATTTCAAATGCATGGTGCTGATTGCTGCAGACGGGAAAGAAAGCCACTATAAGGCGGTCCGTCTCCCATCTAGGCAACTTTAACACAAACGTAAGCGGTATGTGTTGATCATTAGATACTCGATGTGATTTACTGAATTCGCGGCATTTGATTAATCGCTCAGCGCCGCTATCATTATTCTGAAATGTACATTTGTTTGTGACTTATTCGTGTATGCCTCGTCTGACTATTTGTTTCACGATTGATGAATTAAATAATAAAAAATGTCATATTAAATATTCAAATAAATTATAAAATTATTTTATGTAATGTATTTCTTCTTGCATTGTAGAAAATTTACAAATTTTGAGATTCCAAACCTTTGAATATTTATATTCTTGGACTTTTGCATTTACTAAATTCTAAAATTTTGGGGTCTTGAAATAAATTTCTGATATATTCTAAAAATTTAAATTTTCTTATATTCTTAGGAAAGTTTTTGAATCATTACTTCTCTTAAATTCTAAAAATTATATGTATTAATAAATAATTTCTTAATTTTATTGGAAAAAATCCAACATTTGAGAAATCAATTTTAATTAGATATATTTTTTATTTTATTTCTTTCAATGTTTTTAACTTTTTATTTTAATTTATTCTTGAGATTTCTGGAGTCCCGTTTTTAATTGTTACATGTCAGTTGATGATCAAAATATTAGATCAATGTAATTATTTATTTAACATATGTGTTTCAGGGAACATGGTTCGCCGTACGAAATCTGTGGAGGAATTGGATAAAAAGCAACTATGAAGGAAAACTAAAAAGGAACGCTCGACGGTGAGCTATGAACGCTAATGATCTAGTCGAATAAAACAATTGCGCGTAGGAATTCATAGGATGAATGATAATGCGTGCGTGCGAAATTAATTATTTCGGATGTGATGTGGTATAAATGTTTCTAAAGACACTTACTTTGTTCCTCAGAATAAATGAAGAATATTGTTACCATTTGAATGATCCGCGGACGCTCCGATTTAGCGTTCGATTAAGTTCGATATAAGTTTTACAGAAAAATCATTAATTCATATTCATCTCCAAATATGTTTCTATTTGTTTTCATTTGACATAGCTGTAACTTTATCTCGCAAAGAATGCGCTTGACAAATTCACCGAAATACTGCTTTTAAATTTAAGACACATTACATATTTTTCTTGTATACGCGAATAAGAATCTCTATGTACAAATTTAGAGATACAGAAGCAAAACACACGTTTTTTAACTTTTTTTTATATAAGATTGAATTAAAGATATACTCTTACATGTATCGAAGTATCAGCATGTATCGAAACTAAAAAAGAAAATACTTAATATTCTTAATTCCTAACAAAAAATCCAGTCGTTTGTTCGAAGCTATATATTAGGCATTATACATTATCGTTTACTTGTGAATCTTGTAAAACCAACAAACAAACGTGAATTTCGTTTCTGTATCTATCTATTTAGTCTTTCAGTTTGCGTCGTGAATATTTGTAGACTGACTGAGAGTCTATACTGGATAAGATCGCAACGTCCGCGGATGTACGTTCAGTCACATTTTTCGCGAATGGTTTTCACACTGATAGTATGGCGGTCTCCTTGAAATCTATATACGGAAAGACACTGCAAACATCATTGGGCGCGATCTGCGAACCCACTCGGCAATTCCACGCTTCGGCGAGGAGTTTATTGTTCGATGCAGAGACGAACACGTGAATTCGGTTTGGCAAGTCCTCGCTCTCATGCAAAGAGATGTACGACGACGTAAGTGGTGTCTTCGTGCAATATGTCTGCAAGTGGCAGAGATAAAACTCAATAAGTGTTAATCTTTCGGATCGATTCAAGGTCGGTCAGTTTCGAGGATACCGAGATTTTTTGGATTTTACTATTATCCAAAAGTCTGAAGATTACGAAGAACTACAGAATTTTCCTCGGAAATAATCCGAGGATCGTGAGAACCCTTCCTCTCCTCACTAAATAAGACTATTGTTAAAAACTAATGTAAACCAAACTGTGACAACAGTACCTGAGCGTAGGCGAGATAGAATAATTGGTCGATGTGGAGTTTTATCCATGGAAGTTTTGTCCTCCTCTCTGCATTCGATCTTATAAGAGCCAAAGTATCATAGGCTAATCTGAGTCCCATGATTTCAGACAACCGCTCGTTCAAGGTCAACCGCGGAATCTAAAATATTTCGACATCTAAAAGTATCGACAATTTGCAAACAATTCAATAAATTAGGCGATTCGCATAATTGTATCTTATTTTAAACCTTATTGCAGAATCTTTTTTAATCATATTGTTTCATTACATAGATATTTATTGCACAATGCGATGTACACATTATGCAATATAGGATTAAATATTCTAAAGAGAATTAAGTATTCATTTACCATAAATGACACCGTCTGCTCAGTGAAGGATAATGTCATGTTCATAGGTTCTTGATATAAATTTTCCTTTTGACAGTTGATATAATCGTCAAAGTTTGTGTCCGTGAATTCGTTCTCATACATCAAAGAGTCTTGAATATTCCTGGTTTGGTTCCAATAGTGTATACCTATAACAAAGGAACGAATAATTGAAAATTCTGATTTCAAAACAGAATATAAATATTCATTTATATAATTAGCATGTTCCATTTACCATTTGCATCGAAATGATGGGCGATCTGATGTGCTATTAAATTTCCAAGTGTCGCCAGCAGAAGATAATCGAAGGAGAGTTCGTCGTTTATCAAGGACCAATCGATGATACCATAAGGAATCACGACAAGATTCAGGCCGTAAATCGCTTGCGCCTTCGACTGGAATGGCGTCGCATAATACGTCCAACTACGTGATTTATAGAAATATAAAAATTTAGATTTAAATTATAATATTAGCATGCTTTATAAGATATTTAAAAGGCAAAATAAAATTAAAAAATTTAAATTAAATTTAAAGAGGAAGAAATCTAAAATTCTTTTTTGGAACTTCTAGATTTAAAACTTTCAAAATCTAATAATATACTATTTGCAAAATTAAATCTAAGATGTTAATCTCTGTGTTTTTTAGGAGGGAAAAATACCAAGAATTTATAAATTTAAAAAATTACGGATGTAGAAGCTGAATTAATTAATTAATCACAAATTATCTTACTTACATTTGTTTCGGATCGCCGACTTTTCTTTTTAATTCGGTATATATTAAAGTTCTGTATCTTTTCAACAGAGTCATCGAGTTATTGAAATAATTGTCATACAAAATTATCTGAAATTCAATTTTCAATGTATACGATGTAAAAACTAAATGAGATCCATAATGATAAATCTTCAGTTTTTTTGATAAAATAGTAAGAGTAAAAAATATTACCTGTGGCACATTATATTCATTGTATAACAAGTCTCTATTCTTGAAGTACGAAATAACAGGCAGTGCAAGCTCGAGACTATCGATTTTCTTCAACAATTCTTGTCGTCCTTCTTCTCTGGCCCATTGCGCTTCTTCAGTTTTTATCTTTAGCGTTCGTTTTAGCTCATTGAACATTTTTTCCGTCTTAAGCAATATAATAGAAATCATCAAAAAGAGTATAAAAAGAAATCCAAAAAATTTACAATTTTCTTTGTATTTAATATATTTTATTTATATTAAAGTTATTTTAAACTTACCATTTTATTCATTTGTGCTATTTCATGATCAGTAAAGGAAGATATATATAAACTGGATGCTTCCAGCTGTAGGAGATAGGTAGTAATATGCAGACAATGATCTTTCACATTATTACGTCTTGGCAGCACTAACTGTAAAGTTTATTTTATTATAAAGGTTTTAATTAATTACAAAACATAGAAAATAATTCTTGTTTATTAAATTTATAGCTCTTATTATAATTGAACTTATTTATGTATGTTATTCACCAAAATATAAAAGAGCTTACATAAAATATTAATTACCTCGTGATAAAGTTTATGTGCATATAATCCTATTATCGCATTTTTAAGTCCTACAGGATCCTCTTTGCTGAATTTCTCTAATATTTGTAAACCTTTAACTAATGCAGAGTGAAAATAAACTTGGATATTAGCTTCACTAGTTATTATATACATTCCTGTTAGTGAATGAATTAATTGCGTCCAATTTACCTGCAATAGGAAAGATAAAAAATCGCTAAGATATCATTTAGAAGATTAAATATTGTTTTCCTTTTTATATTCTGTTTCACAAAAATTATGAAATTTTTCTTTCACAGAGAAATCTGTTTTATTGAAATTGTCTACACTTTTACTTACAAAAGTGCTATTGCTTTGCAATTCGTCTAAACTTATTTTGCTGTAATCCTTCAGTATATATGCTTCCCGTATTTCACTTTTGGATGGAAAATGCTGCAAAATGAATATTATTTCACCATGAAATCAAAAACTAAACTATTAACTTTGTTAGATTTCAATTACCGAAAAATATCCTTGTATTAGAACAGTGTCGATCACATGGATGGTTTCCTCTATTCTTTTCAATCTTTCTTCGTAACTATCATTTAAATTTTTAAAAACATTAAACACTATTAGAGCTTCCTTAATGGACTTTATAAATTCTCTTGTATCACTCTGAAAAAACAAATGGAAATAATTACTCACATACATTCACTTTTATTAATCTGTTGTATTTACTTTTTAATTTATTTTAATTATCTATTTATATTTCTTTTCTTATTAATCGTAGTCTAAATAAAAGTTTCAGCAAAAGACTAAATTCTAAAAAGAATAAAAAATGATTTTTTTATAGAAAATAAAATTGTTTTTATATTAAAAATATTTACTTTATATATTTTGATAATTTGAACAAATTATGTTTGTACCTTGCATCTTTTATAATTATTATACAAAATTTCAAGATCCACGTAATGTCCTTCCGTCTCAATGTCACTCTCGAAGCATGGATCTTCCTCCATATATTTGAAAGGACTCTCATATGTTGTAGGTCCTATCTTAAGTGTAAAACTATTTGGACGATATTCATCCAATTCTGGCACGACATCAAATAAAAGTGCGCTGCAAAATAATTTTAATTTATAATATTTTTATAAAATTATGAAGAAAAAGTCTTCAAGAACTTACCTATGATATGACATTAATTGCGCTAATAAATAAGTGAAATCTACATAATTAACAGCCCATGTGGCATTTATATAAAGCTCTTCAATTTCATTTAACGCATTATTTGCTGCAACAAAATTAATTAATAAAGATAATGATTGTTCTTTGTAATTTTATTTTTATATTTGTAAATTTGTATTCAAGATTATTGTTTGTATAATCTAACAAAGTTAATATGCTTAAAAATCTTATTTTTACCCATTTCTACTCTTTCGTTAAAGTTAAAATTTCTCTCGTATTGTATGCAACTGTCATAGTACGTTGCAAAATTTGAGTGCATGTTTTCGTGTTTCTCTTTTAACATCTGTCCTAAAACATTAAAAATAATGTTAATAATTAATATAATTTATTTATAATAATCAACATACTGGCAATTCGTTGATAATTTTTGGATTTTTGAATTAGATTTCCATCCATCAACTGCGGATCCGCCTCGAAACCACCGCAAGCGTACTCGTAAAAATCTTCACAAGGATCGGCCGTATGATTCATGTAAGACAACATCTTGCTGGCAATCTGTTTGCAGTGACCTGTTTCGCAAATATTCGTGTCCTCGTCAGAAGATGTAGTTCTTCCTGTGATTATAAGCATCGTGTCATCGAGGTTTATTGTACTTTGTGTCGTATAATTGTAAAAAGGAGAAATAGTAGTTGTGTTTGTATTATTTATTAATGCCTTATATTCTTCGGTGATAGACAAAATCACACTCTCATTGTACTTTTGAGTAGTTTCACTATAGTTCTTTAATGTCGCATTTGTCATGTCTTCAGCTTCCTACGAATTAAATATTATAAATATTGATATAAATTTTTCCTGCATATTTTAAAAAGATGACGATTATCTTTAAATCAAAAACAAAACTTTAAATTATAATGTATTACATATATTAATTTGTTAGTTATTTTTATATATTAATTTATTAATTATTTGTTAATTGTTATATTACGTTTCCGATTTTTGTAGTTGCTGAGGACCTCTCATCTCTAGCTGAAGAATTCTCTCTCGTTACATTTTCATTAATTAATGCCGGACTATACTCTAGATTGGTTGTAGATTCTTTATAATTTAAATCTGTTGTTGAATATTTAATATTTTCAGCTTCTTCAAGATCTGATTGAGTCGACGACGTTGAAATGATTATATTGTTTATTGCTACATTGGACTGTGATTTATCAAAATAATTATACGGATCGGAAAAATATTTAGTACTCGTACTACTATCAGAATCGGTCGGAAAACTCGGTGTTGTGATATTACTTACAATAGCAGCTTCCAATCTCTCATATTTATTAGTGGAATTTTCGGTAGCATATTCTTTAAATCCTTGATATAATTCGTCATATAAATTTTCATATAATCCTTCGTTTAATTGAGATGATAATGTTGAAATATTATCAGTTGTATTATCAGCTTTTGATTCCTCTGTGCTGTAATACATAGAGGAAGAATATCTATCAGTCGTAGATTCATCAGATTTCGAAGATGCAACATCCTCTATAATATCGACAATTGTAACATTGTAATTTAACGTAGCGTCGCTAACAATTGGTTCATTTGGCAATGTTGAAGCTGTATCGATAGTATTAGTTACAATATCATTTGATAAAGTAACTACATCAATGTCTTCTTCTGTAGTTTCTGTATAATTAACAATTTTTTTCATCGTAGAAAAATTTTCAGTTTCTTTTTCAGATACAGTCACAGAAGACGTAACTACATCATCCTCGGTTGTGCTATTTTCAGAATAACGTTCGAAATGATGAAATCCTTTAATGTTCTTTTTCGAATATTTTTCAGTAATGACATCGACATTTTTTGTTGATTCTGCTATCTCTGCGTTCGTAGTGGATGTAGTGGTTGTTTCTGGAGTCATCGAAGTCGGGAGTCGTGGATTCATTGATAGATCTGTCATGATTGAAATCGGTATTGCCTCTTCTGTGCGTTCTTCATAATGATGCTATGTAAAATATTTATTAAAATTATTAAAACAAGTTCTTCTTAAGGCTTTGATTAATTAATATATTGAGCCAATATAATTAAGAGATAATTATTGAATTCTTTGTTGAATATCTATCGTTTCTTATTTTTCATACAATTTTCATACAATTTTGTAATCTTAATTAATAGCATTACCTGTGGCTCATATTCAGTGTATTCATTCTTGTATTCTCTGTAACTTCGCGTTTTCCAGGGTATGCAAGCGATAATAAGAATAAGGCACATAAAAAAGAAGATGAGCAAGGTGATGAGACAATTTCTGTATGATTGATCACGTTGAGCGACCTTGCCTTCTTCCCGATTGTTGATCTGATACGTTTTTTTGTAAAAGGGCATGGTCTCTTTCTTTCAATTAACACTATGTATATTGATTTGCTTACAACTAAAATTTTTGATCGTACGCCGTAAAATGTACATAACAACTAACGTTGCGTACCTCAATCTTTCAAAGATGCTGATTGCGGTTTTGTTTGACCACTTCCTTCCGAATATTATCGCACAAGGAAACTCTTGCGCGATAAAACTTTTAAATTAATAAACTTTTCGCTTACATAATGCATTCGATCTGAAGTTAAAATATATAACTATGTATAAATATGAATTTCCGGAGTTAATAATTTGTGATTTTGAGAATTGATTAATACGAGAAGGAGAAGAGCGCATTAATTGGGATTCAAATCTAATGGACAAAAATTTCAGGAATGACAATAATAAAAACTTTGCTGAATCTATTTCATAAAATTGATATTCTTTCTTAAAAGTTATCTTATATTTCTCACACAATTGTGTGAAAATTCTGGTAAATTTTTTATTTTATAACAAATAAATTAAAAAGATGTCGCGCTGCGCTGAACATTTCGTTACAATTCTCAAATATCATGCACACTTATTCTATTGTTAAAAAAATTTAACGAACAAAAGTGTTCAAAAGGATACTCGAAGTATCATTAAAACTACTGTGACTATAAGATGAGTTTTTTCATAGAAGAATTGAAATTGTGACAACAACATCGAACATCTTCGATGTGTGCGCATATATATATATATATATATAAGTTACTTATATATCAATAGAGCATTTATAATATAATTATCACAGATATGTAAACTACAAAATACCGTACGCGAATATAAAATGCAATTTACGTTTTCGCCGATGATCCCATTGCACGTGCTACGACTTGTCTACATTCTAATTTGTTGTACAATTTAAATACGAATCAAAAATATATATATACATATGTGCATGTATGTATATATATGTATACGTATTGCAAAATCTCTCTACTCGCTCGTATTGGGCGAGTAGAACTCTATGTTGCGTTTAAAATCATCCTCAAAGTTTATAACCGGCGAATCGGATCGCTCGTTTAATTCATTACCGATTGATTGAACCTTTGAGACGAAAAGGATATTTCCTGTTCTCTTGCAAAATTCTTCATCGAAATCGTCAGACTTGAATGTTTCAGAGGCGATCTGCAATGAGATTAAGAAATTTAAGAAAATAAATGCAAATAAAACAGAAAAAAATGATAAAATTTACGTATGATTTTAAAAAGAAAAACAAAAATAAAAGCGAAATAATTAATATCCTTTCAACAAGAAAATGATAAATAATAAAATTAAAATGAAATTAGAAAAAAATAAAAATTGAAAGGAGAATTATATTTTGAAAAAGATATATAAAGAGTGATTTAAACAATAAATTACTTTTCTTTCGATTTCATCGGCCTTAAGTTTTTCCAATTTCTCTTTATCGAGTAGTGGAGCAGTCTTTAATAATGTCTGTCTCTTTGGGGTTGGTTTCCTTGGTTTAAACGATCCGGACGCTTTTTTTGGTAGCTGTGAGCTTGTATGTTTTTTAGCTTCGCTTAATTGTTCACAATTATGGGTAACTAATTGTTCTTTAGTCTTAAAAGCCTGTATAACAATAATAATCAGTTATCGAAAAATGAATCGATTAATATTTTAAATCGAGAGTGGGACTTACGTGAGAGCAAATATCACACTTGAGGCTGTGCTTGTTCATTTCATGATGCTTGAGGGCCTGTGCCCGATGGAAATTACGATTACAATGGCTGCAGCTGAATCGTTTGACATTGCTGTGCGTCAACAGATGCCGTTTGAGCTTATCCGGTCGTGAGAACTCGCTCATGCAGCCAAGATAACCACGAAACGGGCACTTAAGTCTCTTTGTCAGGTCATGGATCAACATGTGCCGTCCCAGTCGATCTTTCCGCTTGAATCTAGCCGGACAATGCTGCGAATTCAAATATCAACTATAAGTATCATTTTTTAAAGCTACAACAATATGCAATCCTATTTTAAACAATTAATTACTCTGTATAACTACTTTTTTACTTACTGGACAGGTAAAAGGTGTCTCTTCGCTGTGTATCAGTTTATGATTGGCCAGGTACTGTTCGGTTTTGAAAGCTTTGCCGCAATCCTCGCAGGCAAATCTCGCTGACGCCGAATGGGTCTTGAGATGACGACGTAAAAATCTCTCAATGAGGAAGCTTTTGCCGCAATGCAAGCACGCGTAGTCGTGCGTAGTAGTTTCTTGATGGTGTTGCAACGCCTCGAGGTTTGAGAACGACGATTTGCAGATCGAGCAGCAGTAGTACTTCTCCGTAGTCTTTTGTTTCTGGACGGAGTGAACGTACTGATGGCGACCGAGATCCGAGAGGGTACTGAACACTTCGCCGCATACGTGACATCGGTACTCCGAGCATTTGTGACTACGTGTATGCTCCAAAAACTCCTCCAGTTCCGAAAACATCATGCTGCAGCTGCTCTGCACACATTTGTACACTTTTAGCGCTAGATGCGAGACGATGAGATGGCCTTTCAGAGCCTTGTATGAATCGAATGTTTCTTTGCAGAATTGGCAGTGATACGTTCGGTCGATACTTCCATCTGGAGGTGCCTGATATTTTAGAAGAAAATAGAAAAATATATGTAAAAATTACTGTATACTATTAAAATTAAATTAAAAATAAAATTGTGCATTTTTAAAATATAAAATTATGTTGTGTTTTAAAATATAGTTTTAATCTTATAACAAAACTTGATATAATAATTAAAAACGTTCCTATTTTTATAGCATAAGACATATTTTTCCTTTTTTTATGAAGAAATTCAAATAATACAAGTTTTAATTAGACTTTTTTTACCTCAGGTGGTAATGAGTGAATGGCAGTACCAGGCCAGACTTTGTGTGAAGACATATGTTTCTTCACATTTGATTTCTGTGCAAATGCACGACCGCACACTACACATTGATAAGGCTTCTCTCCAGTATGAGAACGTTCATGTTGCTGCCAATAGAATTTCTTTGCAAATTGCTTATTGCAATAACCACACTTATACTGCAACAATGTAATAAAATATATATTTTATTATATATTTTATTATTTTATTACAAAAATATAGTGTATATTTTAATTTGTTAACTTATTCATTAATCTATAAAGAATAGACTAAGAAAAAAATTCTACAATTATATTTTATAAATTAATTAAATGTTTATAAAATTACATTTATCATATATTTTAATAATGTAAAAAAATCGAATTTTATAGGTTTTATTTATTTAAATTAAAGTCAATACCATAATACATACCTTTAAGTTTTGTGTTTGACTAATGTCATTTTCTAGTTCACTGGGCAAATTATCCTGGAAGGATATTTCGTTGTCCTCAAAGCAAGGTTCATTGTCATCCAAGAACGGTTCATCCGTCACAGGCGGCTCGTCCGCCACCGATGGCTCGTGGTCCATCAACAAAGTGCTAGGATGTTCGGACTGACTCGAGGCGTCCTCCTGTGAGCTGACATCATTTTGCAGTTGTATTGTCGGCACATCATTCGACTCACCTCCCGTCGCCTCAACAAAAGAATTCAGATTTTCTGTGCTTAAGATGATTGGCACATTGAATGTGGAATCTGTTGAAAAGTAATTGGCAGCCTCTTGGTCCACACTACGATAAAATCAATTAGATAAAGATATATATTTAAAAAAGCTTTATAAAAATAAAGAGTAATAATTAAATTAATACACTTTACATATAATTATATATTACATATTTATAATTATTAATTATAGCAATGTACCTAAATAGCATGTTTGCTTCTTCAAGGATAATAGGTTCTCCAAGCTGAAAGGTTTCCTGTGAATTATATTGCGATTCATCTGGAGTGGCATCTTCAACATGCATCACCTGACTTTCATCATTTGTCAGGAATTGAGTCAAGTCCACTGTCTGCTCCTGCGTCTTTTGATGTGTTCTTTTGTGGAGCACAAACATCTGCAGTGATGTAAACTGACTCTTGCACTTGCCACATTGGAATATATCTTCCTCATCCTGATCAATCGCTGTTGAGAAAATATCAACAAGTATTATAATTCTTATAATTCTTATAATATATGATTAAAGAATATTGAAACATGCATGAAAAGAAAATGTTTTCAGATATCTGCTTTGCGCTTATGTATACCTGACTGCTCAACTTCGGCTATCAAGGTCTGTGACTCCAACAAGGATTGCACAGAGGAACCGTCTAGAGAGACATCTATAAGAATGAAGAGAATTGAATAATATTTAGCAAGATTGAATATTCTTTCTAGCAATGATGAGTTTTTATTGATTTAAAATAAGATATTTCAAGAATGTTATTGTCACACAAAATGAGTTAAATTAAAATACAGTCAGAGTGATAATGATTTCTACCTAGAAAATTTTTCAAATTATCAGAAACAGAAACAGAGTAGATGTACCAATTCCTGAATGTATTGAAAAGTGTCAAAAAGCGAGGATATTAAAAGCACGAAAAAAATATCGGAGCTCGAGGAAAAGAAGATTGTTGATGTTTCCGGGATTGGTTAACCCCACCTATTCCGGTGCGCCTTTACCTGTCAAAGCGTCCAGGATAGAATGCGCCATGTTTCAGAATCAGCACGTCATTTTAGCAAACGGAGAAATGAAGGAACGAGACTTAACTCTCGCGAGTCAACGAAGGGACATTCGTCATTCCCTTCAGAATGGAAACATAACAAACCCCTCACTTTCTCACATCCTTGTTGCTGCGAAGCAACGCACTGATCGATACCTAACCTCAAAACCCAACATCGCGCAATGACGTTAGGATGCGTTTTCACTTGACGCTACAAAGTGGGTTTCCATTTAGCGACACAAGTCGACACAAGCGTCATTCTATCTTTTTTCAATGAATAACAATAAACAAAGATAGAATGACACTTGTGTTGACTTGTGTCGCTAAATGGAAAGCACCCAGTAGCGTCAACCATTGGTTGAACAAAGAAGCAACTACTTACTTCTTTGTTCAACCAATTGTTGACGCTAGAAACCAGCGGCAAATTAAAATCACTAGACTTTCTCTAGATATGGCGTCAATAAAATAAAGTTCAAACAGTTTCAACTTTTTCAGTGTGTAAAGCGGCCTTTTCATTGACGCTACTTTTTAGCGTCAATGAAATTGCACCTAACAGTTGGCAGCCCTACGAGATAAGCTGTGCAGCACTGCGCGTATATAAAATAAATTTGAAATCGCTTCTAGCCTAACCATCTTCACGCGATCGACTTTATTTGAATTGCACGGCATCGCATCGAATTATGATGCGGCGCCGATTTGTTCGAACGTAATTCGAGACATCGCGATGCTGTATAAGCGTCGAATGAGCACGAATTGTCACGCAAATATGATAAATCATCTACTCACCGTTCACCGGCTGTTCCACAGGCCGCTCCACTCGCTCGCCTCGGGACGTCCCATTCCGATCTTGATGCGCACGATATCATCAACGCGAACGCGCGACACCTTATTCGGCACTCCCGATATTCGCTCGCATCCGATAATCATCATCAAGGGCGCAAATAACGCGACGCGACTTCGCTCCATCTTCGCGATCGCGCTATCACTGAACTGTGAAAAATAGCTGTCGCGCACTTTCACCGACATATTATGAAAGTCGCGCGATCATCCTTGAACACTTTCGACGCTCTTTCACTCGCGATATTCGTTTAAAAACGGTTAAAAGACGCGAAAAATGCGGACGTACGACGATCCGTGTAACTGCGTGTGACTCCGATTCGCGTATGACGTCGCAGTGACGTCACGCGCCAACATGGCGGCCGAACCAGTGCGCACTGGTTCGGCCGCCATGTTGGCGCGTGACTGCTACGTCATACGCGTCATAGTACGTCATACGCGTCATACGTGACTTGGAGTCATACGCAGTTACACGGATCGTCGTACGTCCGCATTTTTCGTGTCTTTTAACCGTTTTTAAACGAATATCGCGAGTGAACGAGCGTCGAAAGTGTCGAAGGATGATCGCGCGACTTTTATAGTGTGTCGATGGAAACGCGCGACAGCGATTTTTGACGACATTCAGTGATGGCGTCATCGCGAAGATGGAGCGAAGTTGCGTCGCATTATTTACGCCCTTGATGATGATTATCGGATGCGAGCGAATATCGGGAGTGCCGAATAAAGTGTCGCGCGTTCGCGTTGATGATATCGTGTGCATCAAGATCAGAATGGGACGTCCCGAGGCGAGCGAGTGGAGCGGCCTGTGGAACAGCCGGTGAACGGTGAGTAGATGTGATTTATTATCATATTTGCGTGACAATTCGTGCTCATTCGACGCTTATACAGCATCGCGATGTCACGAATTACGTTCAAACAAATCGACGCCGCATCATAATTCGATGCGATGCCGTGCAATTCAAATAAAGTCGATCACGTGAAGATGGTTATACTAGAAGCGATTTCAAATTTATTTTATATACGCGCAGTGCTGCACAGCCTATCTGATAGGGCTGCCAACAGTTAAACGATAAATTTGTTTGATCTAACCTAACCTAACCTAACCTGTCTAAACTGTCTTTGGATGTCGAATGTAAACACAAGCATATGCTGCCTGGATTGTATCATGCTTTTAAAAATAATATTTAATTATTTCATTAGTGTATTACATTTTATTACGTAGTATATTAATCGTATTAAATGTGCGACGTACAGTTTTACACATTTTAATGAGAAGCATATAATATAATTGGTTAGGTTAGATTAAATTAAAACAAGCTGCTGTGATTCATTTAAAGTAATAGGATTAATTTGACGAATGTGCAGCTATTGAAGTTTGTGCAGACATGATATTTGTGGACACATTTTTAAAGTAATCATGAGTGTCTTATCTCATCTCGATTACATGAAATTAAAATATAAAATATTTATGTATTCCATATTAACGTTATTCATTACAAGTACTATATTACTACATTATAAGTACTTTTCTTATATCTCAATCATATTCAACCATTTATTTCATCGATGAAGCTTTTCATATATCGCAGACAATATGATACTGTTTGTGGAATTTTACACAGGTAATACATGGCACAAAAATAATTTGTTCTAAAGTATTGTGCACATTTCTCAAAAATAAATCAAATTAAATTATTTTCAGAATCCAAACATCGCTACATTGCTAGGATTGTATCTTATTATAACTGCGATATTATCACCTTTTAATATGTGTGCACAGTATTACATACGTAAAATATATAAATTTATTTGAAACGTATGGAAATCTCTATCTTATTTATAATATTTATGATATTATAAAAGAAAATTGTAACTCTAATGAAACAGAGCGGTGAAATAATTGGATGATACTTATGCTGGTCTACGATGTTTACCCTTTTTTCACCATTAGACTGGTGCTTTTTTTATTATACAGATGTTATCTGTAAATATAGTACTCGTAATGTTGTTTCTGTATCACTGTAAGCACACAAAAATGATACCATTTGCAAGTAATTATGTTATACTTATATATCATAAGAAAGAGAAAATAAAATAAAAGTTGAATACTGAATGTGCTCTAAAGTAAATCTCATCTAAATAAATAAATGCATAAATGTGCGCCTCACATTTCTCATGAAAAAAATACATAATATTAATCTTTACGTATTATTATTTTTAGATTTGTTTTTTATTCTTTTAAATTTTCTAGATGCACTTTTCTTCTCTCTTTCTTTCGAACTACTAAATATAGATCTATCATTTTTAATATAGATCTGTCATTTTTAGTGTACATTATTGCAGTAAGTGGAATAAAGAGCATATCTTTTGGCATTTAAAATGTACAGGAAAGTCAGTTTTATCTGATGCGTTTTTTTCAATAGAAATATCTGAAAAAATTCATACGTCTTTTCTAATCTTAGTCTTTCTAAATAAGAATTAGAATAATAAATTTGCAAAATAATTTGCTTTAATATATTTTTAGTGCAAACATATGAAGCAAAGTGCTCAAGGTGCATCACTATGAAAACATAGATAGAATAAAAAGTAGATCGTATACAAAAGAATTAAAATATTTACACTACATATTTGATATAGCATTTAATCGATATGTGCAGTAATACAATAAAATCTAATTTTCTCTCGAATTTTTTCACGAAATTTAAACTACTAGAAAAATATCAAATATTCAAATTGTTCAATAGTCTTGCCAAAAAAGCAGTTCTCGCTTAAAGAATCTTTAGAAAAAAAAAATAAAAAAATTCTAAAGAAAAAAAAGGACAACAAATTTTTAATCTGACATGGATATTTAATTTTATACTAATATTTTTAATGTAACACTTCATTTATAAAGATTTTATTTTGTGAAACGTTTATACATAAAAGTACAGTGATTATAAGGCTTCTTTAATCTATTGTTTCATCCTCACTTTGTTTTTCGTCTATAAAATATTTGTGCTTCTGGATACTTTTCTCTGGAAGCTTTATGCAATGTGTGTAACCTAAATCTGTTAACGTACAAGTATTAGAGTAACGGAATAAGTATATGTAATTTGATTAAAAATACGTTTCTTATATGAATTTTTAAATACATATTTTATTATACTACAAATAAAAAAAATTATGCTTGCGCGACGGGATTTTAACAATTTACCGACATGCACAAAATGATGACTTTACCGGCAGTCGAAGTATCTAGACTACGTAATTCTGGCGTTTAACGCGAATGCAGATGGCGATACTAAACAGCAAAAAAGATGGCCGTATTGTGTGAAACG